AGCATCAGCTGCTAAATTCAAATCTGCGTTCGCGTTTTGCTGGCGCTGAGCCAGAGACAGACACGTTTGTACAGCGCTGCATTATAACCAGTCACACACGATTCTGTTGAGCTTATGAATGCAATGGCCAATCAGAGACGTGTAGATGAGTCATCGCTGAAACGCGGTGTTTTGTTCACTTGCTCACTGGCTGAATTACTGGTGAATTCTCTCATCAGAAACAACAAATTGCAGATGTGCGTAGATGTAAGTAAGATATTCATTTCACAGTGTAAACAGCTTCAGTGATTTTAATGGGAGTTTTTGAGAGTGCCTGAACTCTGGCTAGACTGAATGAAAATGTTCTTCGTTAATGTAAATTTTCTTTGCTCTCTGTAAAATGAAAGTGTTATAATTAGTAACCTACAATATTGTTATTAAATTCACATTATACAAAGTCAGTCGTATTAAAAATATTTTATGGCATGCTGGTACTTAAGTAAAAAGTCTAGTTTTATGTGTAGTTAATAGATTACACTATTAGTTTACTTTGCCCATCACCATTTATTGACCAAATAACAATCAATAACAATCTATAAATGTGAAAAACGCATTTACTTACACATATTTGAGAATCGAGATATTACCTGATATAGTTTACACGTTTGGAAATGTTTCGAATAAAAAGGGGGGAAAAAAATAAAACATAAGCCTACATCAGTTATCGTATTTTAGTCCAGTGATCCTGTATTGCTCTTCTCTCTCTCTCTTCTCATTACACTAATGTGCCAATGGGCGGGGCCAAAGATGCGAAGATGAAGCAGTAGGCCATGATTCTGCAGAGGAGGACTATCATCACACTATGACATCATAATGTGACAAAATCTGAAACAAGTCGTTTTCTGAGCTTGGATCCATATTTATAGTTTTCACCCAAATTTTGCTTTAACCCACTGTAAAATCCAACAAAGTAACTCTTTCATTTTGAGGAAACTGACTTCCTTAACCCAAATATGTTTAAAAATATTAATGTGTACATATTTCATTTGAGTTAGCAAAAGATAGTCATATCATTCGACCTAATCACAGGCTCTCCTTGGTATAAAAGGTAACCCCCAAACCTCCAACAAAACAGAAACCCACTTAAACCCAACATAACAAAAAACACTAACAGATCACCCCCATATTAATCTTATGCAAAAACACATTTTATAACATGTAATTTCAAAAATGTATCTCCTTACACACTCTAAAGCATGATTATACCATTTAATAGTTCACATAACTTTTTTTCCATTAAGTGAACTTTAATTCATATTTGAGTAAAATTAACTTGTTTTATTTAGTAAATGTTAATGTTTTTTGTCACATTTTAAATGAGCTACTCAATATATTACTAGGCTGTTGATGCTGTTACAAGGCATAAAAACACTTTTTGCAGAACTGACCCGAAACTCTCTCACACCGCTCATGCTTATCTGTCAAGTCATATAAGTCCGCTTCCTTTTTAACATACAGTATTATCTTAAAATTTACAACAAATGGAGGCAATTTCTTTTTCCTTCATTAGCAGCAAACAACTAAATTAGCTCAAATTAAATTCCGTGAAAATTGTCAGCTGTCATCTGAAAGCAGCAGCCTAGATGAATATGTGGACTAAGTGGCAAATCTGTTAAACAGAGTCATTAATGATATTGTTTTTTAGTAACTGAAAGATAAAGGACATATGTGAAGATGTAGATGAAGGACAAGAGCAGCAAAGCAACTGGTGGTGGTGGTGGGGGGGGGGTAACCATGACAACCACGTCACACCAGCACCACACAGTTGGATACTTGTTGTCATGCTGAGGGAGATACAAGCCCATGGGCGGCACAATAGCGATGTAATCAATTTTATTTATGTTTACACACATCCTCACAGGAGCAGTAAACTGTAAATGAAGACTGTGACGGAATCACTTTTAACCGTTTTAACAATTCATTAAGCTACAGTATTACTGCAGGCTGCCAATTCAAGATTTGGCGGGATTAATAAACCATCATAGGGCTTTAAGAGCAGGAGTCTTCAATCTTTTTCAGGTCAAGAACCCTTTGGTGAATAGACATGGCTTTGACTTCACACAAAACAAGAATGGATGAATGATTTTATTTTTTTTTATTTAACAATTAACACAGAGTCTAGAAAAATTTAAATGGAAAGAACAGAATCCAGTAAAATTAAAACGGGGAAAAAAACAGAATTTGGGAAAAAATAAAACGGATTTCATAGGGCCCTACATATAGAGCACTTCCTACTGTTGTCGGGATCAAAAGGCATAAATTTCCTTTACTCTATCTAATAAAGCATATCTGTGCACACACTCTTCCCCTGTTAGATAACAGCAGAATAATGCAAAGACAATACTTACTGCAACCAATGGTTAAATGGTTAAATGCAACATTTTGCTAAATTAATTTCAGTGCTTCTTGCACGTGACACTTTCAAAGTCAAATGTCTGGTGAGTGGCACTAAAAGGTTAATGCTCTTTTGTGTTTTGAAAGGTACAACCTACACTAAAACCGACCCTGACCGTGTTAAAAGCACTCATGAGATGAAAACACATTGGCTGAAGCAATCATGGCATTTTAGCTTGCGTCTATAAGTCTTTGAGCTCATTTATCATGACTTGTGTTTCGTTTACAAATCATGCACTACAGCAAAAGTGTCATGATGTCATAAGATAGTATTGTGCAAGGCATGAAAATAAGTCTATTAATCGATTATCTGCCTCTATAACGGAATAACTAGTTTTGAAAAAATCTAGGTAGAGACATTATTCAAATTTTCAATGAGCCTAGATTAACTTACACAATGCACTTGTGCAAATAAATAAGAACCCAGTATGACCTTAAATAAAACATAGCAATGGGAACTGGGAACTGTTTCAGCAGCCCTTTCCTTTCACCCTTGATTAAAGTGCTGTATTGAGTACTTTAATCAGCTTTAATCAATAGCAAAGTGGTCACAACAAGGGAAGAGCCCTCTGATTCAAACCAGCAATAATTTCACTCCTATTCGGGAACACATGAATCTTTTTTTCAGCAGCTAAAATGCAAATGTGGTAATTATATGAGAACACGTATGTGGGCAGAGTGAGCGAGGGCATCTGCATTAAAAGGCAATTCTTCAGGAGAACTTTCGAGCAATAATAACAAGCCTGAATCAAATCCTTTTAACTTTTAACATCATTTACTATTTACTGATGTTGAGCCTGTTCGGTGTAAAATTTGTATTAATTTGATATTTGTTTGGGGCCGGCCATGATATTAGTTATACAATTAAAATCTACAATGTTTGGTCACACTTTATTTTAAGGTACAATTGTCTTTATTAACAAACCATTAACTACAACTTTTGCCTCAAAAAACTCATAATAAATGC